TGCTGCTTATCCATACGGGAGAAGCAGGCCTTGGTGACCTCTGTTCTCTCCGGATGTCACCACAACATTGTCCTCCACCTTGCTACCCACCTTCCCCCTGGCAATCCCACCCCATGCTGAGCGCTGACCATGGGTAACATTAATACCATGGTAAGCGAGCTGCGGAGCGGTGCAGAGGTTGGCATTAATCACTAAGAGAGTTTGATGGAAAGCGCCGGTTTCCTACGGCCTCGAGCCATCCTGCTATTGCAAACCCTTTCCTAGCATGTACAAAGGATTTAATTAAATGCACAGAGACCATGCAGGAGACCCCCCTCTTCCATAGGAGAGACAGGGTCCTGGTGAGTCCAAACATAGAGGCTGGGCCAGCTTGTAGGCATGCAATGGTTGCAAGAAGTGGAAGGAAAACCCAGTAAAAGGAAGGAGGCGTTGCAGGGTCGGAGGATGGGTGTCCCTGGAAAGCCGCTCTCTTTGCCACTGTCCTCCTCCGGACCTTTGCCGAAGGCAATGCCCATCTTGTGTCTTCTTTCCGTTGTCGTGTACGTGTGTGGGAAGCTTTTCTGGTTCAGCATGAGTGGGCGCGGTGACCAGCTCGGCAGGGGCTCGGCAGGCGCTCGCGTGGTGTTGGTCACCCTTTTGCAATGGCAGTGTGTTGTTCCTGGCCCAAAGCAGCGATGGTCTTGCTCTCCCTGGAAGAGGGATGATGTATTGGCAACCAGCTGCCATCACCCGGGCATGTCCCACGCCGGTGTCTTTGCAAAGCCCATCGTTGTGTAACTTCTACGTTGTTCTCTCCCCAAGCGCCCAAGCTCAAGCAGCGCGCACCGGGCAGCTTGCGAGGCTCTGTGCCACAAAGTGTGGTGTCCCTGGCTGTTCTGCCGTGTCTTTTCCTCACCTCTTTTGTGCCTGGAGGGGAGAGGAGGGGTAGATGAGCTTCCCTTGTCCCCAGGTCCCTCGGTGGGGTGGCTCAGGGCCAGGAGGCTGGGGGTTTAGCGGTGCAGGGAACACCAGGATAGTGGGCAGACCCAAAATACGTGTCCGGGTTGTTTAGCGCGTTGTTGCAGCATGGTGAGCAAGGTGTGTGGAGACCCTGGGCCCCGCAGCCCCCGATGCAGAGCTAACCTTGAATGTTGATGAGCCTCACCACCATTTGTTCCCCCCCAAAAAGTTCGCGTTGTAAGTGATGAACATTAGCGTCTTTACCTGCCCGTTAAGCCATCATTAAGCTATCATTAGTGTTGCCTAGGAGCTATCACGGCTCTCTTCCCCACCAGGCTTCCTTTTAATCAGTGTCCCCAGTCACCCCATTTTTCAGGGAGACAGACACCTCTGGAATTGCAGAGCCGCCCCAGCCCGGCTCCGTCCTTAGGGTGGCTGTGCCAAGCACCCAGCGTAGCCTGGGCTATGTGTACGTCCTTAGCCTCGATGCTGTAGGCTCCCTATGGGTTTATGGGCTTAAAATCTTAAGTAGCGTGGGTCTGGCATCCCCGACTGCAGCCTGGATGAAAAGCCCTCCTGCACGTTAAAGCCAACGTCTTCCCACTGATGGCTTTGAGAGCTGTCGGGTATTTGGTTTCTAACCCAGTGAAGCGTCCTGCCAAAGTCTAAGCCTATTTCATGATCCCCCTTAGCTTCATTGGTCTGACTCTGACTCCCATCAGGGAATGAAATGGGAGTCCTTTGACCGGCTGTCATTTCCATAAAGCCACGTTGATTGAATGATCCTTTCAGGCTTTATTAATCGAGTCCCCTCGGGGGGGGACGGTTCCCCAGACTGCCCTAACCCACGGCAGACCTGAGGGGACCGTGGCACGCAGGGGTCCCCCATCTCCTGGTGCAAAGCGCCCCAACACTGCCAGGAACAGCCTCCCCCTGTAATTAGCAGCGACACGGATGGCCCTGCACGCGTCATTGGACCGAGCTCGCTGGTCCCTAAGCAACCGGATCCTTCAGTCCGGCGATTAATGTGTCTATATTTATTGTAATGAAAGATGGAAGTGGCGTGTGATGGCTGCGCTACCCACAGCACAGGGACCATCTCACCCGTGCCGTTTTGGGGCACCAATGCTGTGCATATCCCCTTTTCCTAAGGCTAAGCAAGTGTTTTGGGGTTTTTCCCCTTCCCAAACGGAGGTTTAATCCCTGTGGGTACCATGCCGTGAGCCTTTCCGGGGCCGTGTGACAGAGGCTAATGTAGCGTACATCTTTTAATCCTTTTTTTAATCTAATTTTTCAAGGAGGTCAACTAGTGCTTTATTTAACATGGAGCACTCGTTATTATAGGCCTGCCGCCTCATTCGGCAGCTCATTTGGTGCTGTCTGTGATGTGATGGAGTGCTCGGTGAAGCCACGTAATTTTGTGGAGTTGGGGAAAAAAAAAAAAAAAGAAAAAGCCTTGCGCTTCTCCCCCGTCTGCATCGCTTCCCAGAGGCTGGCATCGGACCACGTGGGATGTTGCAGGGGATCATAGAATCACTTTGGTTGGAAAAGACTTTTAAGATCATCGAGTCCAACCGTTCCCCTAACCCTGCCATCCCACCCCCAAACCCTGTCCCTAAGCACCTCATCTATCCTTCTTTTAAATACCTCCAGGGATGGGGACTTGACCACCTCCCTGGGCAGCCCATTCCAGTGCTTGGCAGCCCTTTGGGATGTTGCGAGAGGGATGGGCTCCAAACCCGCACCAGAGGAGCGCAGGGGAGGGCTGAGCCCCCAAAATCCCCCAAATCCCAGCCCCTGAACTTTGCTTTTTGCTCAGGGTGCGGCTGCGGACCTTGCCAAGCCTCCCCCAGGCCTGGGGTCCCACAGGCGGCTCGTCTCAGCTCGTGTAGCGCTCTCCCCAGGCCAGGGGACCGTGGCCCCAGAGGACCAGGGTGCAATTCAGGCAGCAGCGTCACATTTGCTACCCCACCTGCTTGTGTCCCCCGGCCCCAGGTCGAGGGCAGGCTGAGCAAAAGCGTCTTGAGCCTGCACTTTCCATTGCCCTTTTGCCTTAACTTTCACTTGTTCTTTAATTTTTAGAAGAGACAACTACTGCTCTGACACCCTGGAAAGGTCAGTAATTTGGGGCCCCTGCAGCGCCAGCGCTCCCCCCGCTCCATTTCCCCCTGGGCCCCTCCAGCCCCCACCCCAAGTTGTCCTGGCAGGGAGCCGTGGCACCGGCCACCTCGACCTCCTGCCCCACCACCCCACCACTCCCGCTGGTCTAGCGAGGAATTAGGGCTTTCTCGCTGCTGTCTAGCTGCCCCACACCCCACCTCCTCCCCGCCAGCCTCCTGTGCCCGCCTGGTGGTGGTCTGTGCCCTCTGCATGCCTTCTGCCCCCGCCACAGGCTCCCTCCCCATCGCCCCTGCGCTCTCCTCCCTGTTGCCGGAGCAAAGGCAGGGTTGTCTGTGGTCCACTGTGGTGTTGTGCACATGGGTCTTGTGGCAGGTCCTTCCTTCTCTGGGATGCTTCTAGTGCCTTTTTTCCGGGGTGCGGTAGGGGTGGAGAGGCGCCCGGCCCTTTTCCCAGCGTTAGTCGTGGCCAGGGCGGCCGGCGCTCTACGTGCGATTTTACCGGCCGGCCAGCTGGCTTGGTGTCATCTTGATTTTGGGGTTCCATAGGCTTCATTTGTGAGGCTTGTAGATGGTGGTCAGCTTGTAGATGACTCGTTGGTGTCGGGAGGGCTACGGAGATAGCACGGAGACAACCACGTCTCCAGATCCGCCCTTGCGCACAGCTCTGCCGGCCGTGCCAGGATCTGGGGCTAAGTGGGAAGCATTGTGAGGTGGCTGTGGGTGTGCTGGAAGAGTGCTACTGGCTGT